CCCCCCCCGAAGCAGAGTGGAGGTCCCAGTAGAGCTGGGACTGTGCCTTTCAAAATAAAATGTTTGACTGTTTAGACTGCAGATCCAGACAGGAAGCAGAAAATGAATAGATGACAACTTATAATAAAGATCAAACATACGTTAAAGATTTCACCTCTAAATAAAACTTTAAAAGACTCGACATTTAGTTTTTTTTAGATTTGGGAACCACGGGGAACATCTGGCCACATGTGTTGAAGAACAGAAGTTAATTTAAACCTTTAAAAGCACCTAAAGATCAGAACCACAGCTATGTGGACCCCACAGTTCATCTGAACTCAAAGGTCAGGTCTGATGATTTTATCTCTTTACCAAACCTGACGCCGACTGCTGGGAGCATCGATCAGCTGAATCCTGAGACACGTTTGTTTTCAGTCAGCAGGTTTCCTCATGGACTCAACTTTTTCAGTCTGAAAGGTTACAGAGACATTTCTGAGGTTTGGGGACTCCAGTGAACCTCAGTGAGAACCGTTATCCACACATGGAGAAAACCTGGAACGGTGCCGAACCTTCCCAGGAGCGGCCGGCTGGCCAAAATTATCCAGGAGGTCACAGAAGACCCTAAAACAACATCCAAAGACCTGCAGGCCTCATGCGGCTCAGTTAAAGTCAGAGGTCACGATGGACAATAAAAAAGAGGCTGGGAGACTCCAAGGAGAAAACCAACGCTGACCAACAAGATCACAAAACAAGTTAGAATGCTTTTCTTTGTTGTCGTGGGCAATCAGTGTAAGATCTAAATGGAAAAGCAACATCAGAGTTAGCTAACTGTGCTCCCATTTTTTTCCTCTCTTCCCAATAAAGAAATCTCACATAAACATGCATCAATTCAACATAAGGACATGAGAAATGACCCGCAACAAATGATGTTTAAACAACAAAAATAATCGGGTCAGCTTGTATTACCGTTACAACCAGCGATATGATTTTTCTTCCCCACGACATTTGCGCATTCCTTACCTCGCAGGAATCCTCCATTATTCTGAGGATTACCCAGAAT